CTTCCTCTTCCTGTGAAGAATGGCACATTGGAATGTGTGCGTGAGTTCCGATACCTGGGTGCTGTTATCCATGATTCTGGCCGATCTCACAAAGATGTATCGACCCGTGTTTCATCTGCCTCCCGTGCTTTTGGAGCGCTCCGTCATGCTGTCTTCAATGACCACAATCTCTCTCTGCGCACCAAGCGTCTGGTTTTCGAGGCCTGTGTTCTGTCCTTACTGCTCTATTGTGCGGAGACGTGGGTACCGCTGCAAAGTGATGTGCAACGGATCACGACCTTCTACTACCGGTCGCTTCTTTCCATCATGAGTGTTGCACAGCGGGATGTGTGGGACTTAAAGATAGCCAAGGACACCATTCTGAAAACATGGAATGCAGCAAACCCACTGGATATCCCCGACCGCCTCATGCAGAGAAGACTGGAATGGCTTGGGCACGTGGTACGCATGCCTGAGGAGCGGATGCCGCGGATGTTGTTGTTTGGCACATTGCTGCCACCACGCCCAGCGTGTGGCCCGCGGAAACGATGGCGAGACGCAATTAGGGTCGACCTGCGACGAATAAACATCGCCGACGAGTCATGGTTTGACACAGCGCAGGAACGATCTGAGTGGCGGCAAGCTTATCGAGCAATACAACCAGCTCAGAAACCGGCTCGGGAGATAGTCTGCGAGGTGTGCCGGCGTGCATTTGCTCGGCAGCAAGATATCGCCCGCCACAAGTGCATCATGGAACGGCGTAAACCAGTCCAGCAGCAAGCCAACAGCCGCCAGTGCTCCCAGTGTCACCGATGGTTTCGGAGTGCGGGTGGCATTGCAGTCCATCGCTGTGTCCAGTCCAATTCTGCCCCGAATGTTGCCAATGCCACAAGCTCTTCACCTGTACGCCTATGTATTCGGAAACCGTGCTGTACCGCTCACTGTCCCATTTGTGAACGCTGCTGTAAGTCAATCCGGGGCTTTGCTATCCACAACTGCAACCGATCCACCAGGCGCCCAACTGCTGATGAAAGGGACAAGTTCCAATTGCAATGTCAGAATTGCCGGAGGCGTTTCAAAAGGCGAAACGACTTATCCCGTCACCAACGCTCATGTCTCCTCTCGTCTCCGTCTCGCTCAACGAGAAACACGTGACCTACATGGCAGTGTATACCAGGACCAGGACCAGGACAAATAACGTGTTATAAAGTAGCCATGCTACACAAGTCTACTGGTTTTTGAAAAATATTTTTAGTTCAGCTCCATTCTTTGCACGCGGGCCAATAACGAAAAAACAGACGCCTGGGAGAGTTTAGTAATTTTCGGCAACACACTACTGAGTAAGAAGTGAAACGAAGAAAGCTTACCTCCCAATCAGTTCGTCCTTCTTTCCGGAAAGGGGTAAGCCATGTTCACGGAGTAGCCTCTTCAGCTCAGGCACTCTCAAGTCGGCTAAAGACGAAACTTTCTTGGCACTCATAGCTGACGGACCAGTCGGTGATACTCCACGACAGGCACTGCCTGGAACTCGACGTGAGGGCTAACTCTCGAAATAAAAACAACCACAACTGTCTGATGTCCAAGACGAAAATTTTGGAAGAAGTGAAGTCTTTCTCACCACGAAATCTCAAGTATACCCCCGGCGCGAGCCGATGACGTAATTGTGAATAAGGACCATTGGTGAGTGAAGTATATAATAACCACTCCATTACTGAATACATGTACGTAGAATACTCCAGTATAGAATGATATGAACACTGAAGCTAATGTGACATTACGGTAGTACAATAGGAAGTACGTCACCACTGTTGTAAATGCACGCGCTGATCCTATCCAACCTGACAGCCAATGCAAGAGGTTGGAATTGGCTATTGATTGCCTAACACACTCATACAGCACCAAAAACTATCTGTCATTGCTCATTTTCCACTCAACATAACACAGTTGGAAATCACCAGCTAGGTGCACATCTTGGCACATAATGTGTGCTATCGCAGTCCACCGCAGTACACAGTAATACACAGAATGATAACTACCGATATAAGATGATGCCACATACATACATACATACACGCATACGCGCGCACCCACACCCACACGCGTGCGCATGCGCGCGCACACACACACACACACACACACACACATGAAGCAGCTGCCGAATCCGACTATGCAGTCTCCCAGACACGCGCGCACAGGCACACACACGAACCAGCTGCCGAATCCAACTATACAGTCTCTCAGGCATGCGTGCACATCCACACACGCGCGCGTGCGCACATACACATGAACCAGCTGCCGAATCCGATTATGCAGTCTCCCAGGCACGCGTGCACGCGCACACACACACACACATGGACCAGCTGCCGAATCCGACTATGCAGTCTCCCAGGCACGCAACCCCAATGGCAATGGGAGAAGAACAGACTCCAGGAGGACGCCGGATCAGGAGGAGGACCCACCTCAGTGAGTGCAAAATGACCGATGCCCGTTGTCTGTTGTGGTCCTGCTGCCGTCAGTTGTAAATTGATCTCTCTTCACAAGACGGACAGCGACCGAACGAAGGAAAAGCAGATGTCCCTGGTGCCTGCCTGATCACCGAGGCAGAGTCCAGTAGCGGATGGGGGAGTGAAGGCAATCTAGGGATGCACGTGTGGTCGGCCAAAGCTCCTCTGCTGCGAAACCAGCAACAACAGCATGTCCCGCGGCCGGAACACACTTCCTGTCTTGTCCTGTCCTGAACATTGCCGTTTCCGGTTACATGTCCCCTCGTGTGAGGGGCCGACAGACATGGAGAGTTTGGCTGAGGCGCTGCTCGCATCAACGTCCTAGCGAGATCTAGACTTTTCTTGAATCCATTTGTTGCAGTTGTGCAGCTGGAACCCTTGGGTTGACTTGCAACATGATCGCTTTGGCTGCAGTGAGCTAAAACCCACCACTGACCTGAAACACGGATCACACTGACCACAGTGATTGTGGCAACACCGTGCCCCGACACCCACCATCCGGCCCGCAGTTGTAGCCTGGGGTGGTGTCACCAACAAAGGAAAGCGCCTAGCACGCACACACATGCACCCGCGCACACACACACATGCATGCGCGCGCGCACACACACACATGTACGCACGAGCACATACACATGCACGCGCGCGCGCACACACACAAACACGCGCGCGCACACACAGAAACGTGCACGCACACACGCATGCACACACTGGCACACATACACAGACAATGGTATAGTATGTTCCTCGTCAAGCAGCCAGGTGCTCTGGCTTGGACCTCCAGGACCGCTGGTTTCGCCCTCGCTACTTGTCGTCTTGCCCTCTCCAGTGCTGCCTGCAACAAAACATTCCCTTCCGTAAACTCTGGGTGGACCAGTTCTCGGTGTTGTGTTTACACCGTGCTCTGCTTTCATGGCATTCGTTGTTCGTATCAGCCACTAAGCTCCTGGTAGGTAGCCCCTTGTTGGCCTTAGGATGTGGCTCTGGGTTCACTACTACATGCACATCACTGTCAGTAAGTATAGGTTAAGCAAAATCAGAGGCACTGGTCTTCTCCAGTGTTGCAAATGCTCAGGATCACATGCGTGCAATTGGTGTAGCACTTTCCATGATACCAGCCACACCATCTGCTCTTCCCTGAGCCCTTGTGCTGGCAGAGAAAATCCCAGACATGGTCGTCCTTCTCTCGAACAGCGCTGACGATGCGACGCCAACTTGTAGTCTCGATATTACTCGCTGCAGGCTTCTCGTTTCTACTAAATTGGGTGCTGTCACACAGACACAAATTCCAGCAATATTACTCCGCTGGGCTGTCATTTGCCACTTCGTTGCCGTCAGCTGCCCCATCTGGCACCTCGCTGCCACTAGAAACGTCTTCCTCCTCTTCCATTGTTGTCAAACAACATCAATGTACACGAAAGGAATAAACTTCAATAAAGTGATCACAAAACCCCAAATCCATATTGTCGTCAACGTCGTTATCTTCTAAAAAATAAATAATTTTCCTCACTCCACCCGAAATCGTACTTTTGTGCTTACTCGTCCGATGCACACCTCACCACTCGCGTAAAATATTTGTTCTCACGGTGGAATTTGGTCGAGAAAAGAAGCCCTCCCGAAGGTCTCTGGATCGGTTCTGGAACGTCCAACAAGCGAAAACGTATCCTTTGTGATGTCCTTGACCAACACTGTAAGCGGCGACTTGTCCCTCCGAGAGTGCAACGGCACTTGTGATTTTGAGTTTTGGCTCACGGACTAATATGCACACACACACACACACACACATGCACAAACTGTGACACACACAACACTGTGACCCAGAAACATGCACACACAAGCGCCGGGAGTGCCACTCCGAGTACTTGCATGCGCATGCATACCGTAATGTCGCGTACAAAAGCAGGTGCTTACGGCCGTATAAGCCAATTTCAGTGCTAGGCTTCTATTCAAGACATGCTTCTATGTAAACATCATCAGTCTGCACTGTGCAGTGCATACTGCCACGCATGTACGTGCACATGTACTTTTGCAGAGAGCTGCTTCTATTCAAACCATGCTTCTGTGTCACGGCGTGCTTAAAAAAAACGGCTTCTATTCGAGCCATGCTTCTATACAGGTCATGCTTTTATACGCGACACTACAGTACCTCACCAAGAACCACACGGTTTCAAACAGTTGGTAAATGAAACACCCTATTGCAGGTATGACCTCCATTAGCTAATATTTCGAGGTCAAGTTGAGACCAACAAAGAAGAAAGGATTCAGTTAACACCAACAATGGGGGGGGGGGGGGGGGGCGAGCTTGCAAAGAGACAGAGAGAGTTCAATAACCCAGGACCTATAAAAACTTGACTATGGAAACTGTCCAGCGGAGTTCGATCTGGAATGGGAGAAAGAATTCTAACTTCTAAGCAATAAAAGCCTGAGCCTTGACTCTGGGAGAAGAAGTTCGCTAATGTTTGCATGCACTACAGTGCCCCCCGACCTGCATGCTCAGCCATTTTGTGTTCGCATGCATGCTCAGCCATCACAGACCTGTGGTGGTATGCACTTGCACCTGCCTCCTTCTAGCAGTGCAAAGAATGGCATGGCCGGCAGCATGGACGGAGAGGCCATGACCGGGCATGAGCCGGGAGCACACGGTGTGTACGTGCGATCCAATGCACCGCAGCACGGGTAGTCCTGCCACGCATACCTGACCGCCGTGGGCTTGCTGCCGCTCAGCGTGCTCAGGTCAACGGTGATCCCGGAACCACTGCTATCTGCCATCACGTTGACAAACATCCAGTTTTTATCAGCAGCGTCAGGTGAGTACGGAGGATTCACCTCCCCGATGCAAACCTCCATGGCGCTAGCCATCATCTCCAATGACCTATTGTACTCCTGAACTATGACCTTTTCTGAGCTAGTCAGCAACTTCGTGTTGAACTTCACCGATATGCTCTTGCCATCGTCCGACATGAAGCAGCCCGCGATGACCGGACCGGTCGCAGGGCCTTTTGCACCATACACAACAACAGCCGCCGCCTTTGCCAGGCGCGTGGCAAACGGCAGTTTAGGACGAGGGTGAATGGGGCCCATGAAGAAGTTGGTTGCCCACCAGCTCCACCTGGTGTCTCCACTGCAGGGCGCTTGAGGCTCCACAACTCCATGCGTACAGCAGTTCTTGAAGTAGCAGTCCTTGTTCCAAGGGTCACCCAAGTCATAGCCACTTGCCACAAAGCAGTTGGGCATGGCAGGGTTGGGGACAACACCGTAGTTTGCCGTCTCCGACCAGCGGAATCCACCCATGTGAGTACCGTGTCCTTCACTGGTGCCCGCAGCTAACGTGTAGACACCGAATGGAGCCAGCGGGTCTGTGGTGCCCTCTTCCACCGACCATGCCTTTCTCCAGGCGCTGATCATGTTGGGCAGCATACAGCCATAGCCAGTGTGTTCCAGGACATTACCAGTATCTTCGTAGACATTATTTTCACCTTGGTACCATAGATAGCCCTTGACTGACATGTTGACAAACGGCGCTACCATGCCGTTGTACAGCAAGCCGCATGTGGTGGTGTTGACGGGTGCTGGGCACGATTGATTCTTGCAGTTTCCCAGTTCCTCGACAGGCGTCCACAGCTCGATCTTAGTGCCACCAACGCTACTAGCTATCAGGCCTATCGGAGGAGCCTTGCCATCGTTCATCTTGGCTAATTCGTCGGAAAGGGCCTGGCCAAAGTACCAGCACGCTGCGCTGAATGAAACTAGGACGCTGCGATTCGTCTTGCCGCACCATGGACAAATGCTCATGGTTTCCTCCAGCGCCAGTGCCTGGCCTGCACCCAGCCACGTGGAGCTGTCCGGGTGCAGTCTCCCCATTCCAGCCGGTACAATGAACGTTTCCTCAGTCTGACTGTTATGGGAGAACTGGCGTACCCGTATGTTGTGGTACATGCCCTTTGCAATAGCACCCAGCGTGTCGTTACGGCTGAATGTGAAATGAAGGAGCAGCTCCATGTTGCTCTGGCCAGAGCAGAAGTAGACATCACCGAATGTAACATTCTGGATCGTACCACCCACACTGCTGTTGACACAACCTTGAGTACATGCACAGGTGATGGTGTAGTCTCCACCAGCCTCGGCAGGATCCAACAGAACTTTCCAGTTCATATTGTTCTCGGACACCTGTGCTGCGTAGGTCTTACTGCTACCCTCTGCCGACGAGACCGTCACAGTGACGGTAGCTGTGGAAGAGCTGAGGTTCATAGCGCTGCCAAACACTGCTGCTTTTGCAGGAGCTCGCTGCAACACCATGTTGTCGTCGAACACACCAGAGAACATGGCTGGCTGTGGCGGTGCGGGACCTCCGGCCTGACAACGCATGAGCGCGGCAAGGAGCAGCGTGGCCACCAGCGTAATGGGTGCGCTCGCCATTGCGCCGGACAAGTAAATCACTGCTGATGAGAAGCCGAGCATGCAACAGCGGGTTGTATCGCTCAAAAATATTATAACCGGAGCTCTGTACTGGCAAGTGGCAGCGAATCCTTTTGATGGGAATGAGTTTGAACTGCTGTGTTCGTTGTAGACAGGTCCATGCAGAGTCAGAAATCGGACATGTCAGTATTTTCACCATATTGTGGGAGTGCTGCAGGTGGGTTCGAACTTCGAATGACTGGACAAGGGTTTCTGGCGATGTTTACGCGCGTCTGAACTGGGCGCCTGTATGATAGGCTATGCTATGTCACTTTATCATGTTTATGTGTCGGATTGTCAACCGCCATGATTGTACTGATGTAGATCTACCACTCCATGCACCGCAGCCAAGTGGTGCAGATCTTTCATAAAACTCGTGAGCATCCAGTGACTTCGCGTAGAGCTAGACTTAACTAGAGCAGTAGAGCCTAGAGCCTACAATGTAGAGGGCTACTCAGATCAGCGACCTGACTTGTGATCTGACTCCGGCTGTCTCCATGGTCTCTGTCTGCCAAGACGATGCGAGCCAGCCGACTTGTTGTCGTGGTTATTGCTTGGCTCGGGAGAGTACTGGTGCAGGGTTGGATCCACTGGGACAGTGGGAGACAGTGGACAGGTCAGATCACACGACCTGGATCTGCGGCATTTGCATGGTCTTCATGTCTGGAAACATATCAGTCATCAATACTTGAAACCGACTGAATCGGAAAAAGCCCAAACAAGAACGATAATCCCTCACAGAGTTCGGCAAATTCCTGATTTATAGTCTAGACGACTACACTAACAAGCAACAGTGCTGAAGCGCAAATACGGCAGGGGACTGACGCGGTAACGGAGCAAGAAAAGAGCAAGATGAAGCGGCTCCCTTCTACGTTGGTAGGTAGCCTAGTAATATCGGTGCTGCTCGTTCTTGCAATTGGATCTCACGGCCATGGCTGGGAAGGTCACCATCCTCCGGTACCATTGCCTCCGCAACCAGCCAGGTTCTCTGGTGTGTTCGACGACAACATGGTGTTACAGCGAGCTCCTGCAAAAGCAGCAGTGTTTGGCAGCGCTATGAACCTCAGCTCTTCCACAGCTACCGTCACTGTGACGGTCTCGTCGGCAGAGGGTAGCAGTAAGACCTACGCAGCACAGGTGTCCGAGAACAATATGAACTGGAAAGTTCTGTTGGATCCTGCCGAGGCTGGTGGAGACTACACCATCACCTGTGCATGTACTCAAGGTTGTGTCAACAGCAGTGTGGGTGGTACGATCCAGAATGTTACATTTGGTGATGTCTACTTCTGCTCTGGCCAGAGTAACATGGAGTTAGAACTTCACTATACATTCAGTCGTAATGACACGCTGGATGCTATTGCAAAGGGTATGTACCACAACATACGCATCCGGCAATTCCCCAACCACCCCATGGACGAACCAACATATATGTTTGAGCCGGGAAAGGGGGCGCTGTACCCGAATGCCTCCACTTGGCTAGGTGCCGGTCAGGCTTTGGCCTTAGAACTGCCTGAAAAGACATGCTATAACTGCGGCATGGCCAATCGTACAGTGCTGATACACTTCAGCGCGGCTTGTTGGTACTTTGGTCAGGCGCTGTCTGACGAGCTTGCCAAGATGAACAACGGAACAACGATTCCGATTGGTCTGATTGCTAGCAGCGTTGGAGGGACTATCATAGAGCTTTGGACACCGCGCGACAAGATTACCAACTGCCAGGACACCTTGTGCGGAGCGAAGCTCAATATGACTACATGCGGTCGCCTCTACAATGGCATGGTGTCACCATTTGTCAACATGACCGTCAAGGGATTCCTATGGTATCAGGGTGAGAACAATGTTGGAGGCTTCACTGGTAACTCACTGGAGCACACTGGCTACGGCTGTATGCTGCCTAACATGATAAGCACGTGGAGAACAGCATGGTCGGTGGAAGAGGGCACCACAGACCCTCTGGCTCCATTCGGTGTCTACACGTTAGCTGCGGGCACCAGTGAAGGACACGGTACTCACATGGGTGGATTCCGCTGGTCGGAGACGGCAAACTACGGTGTCGTCCCCAACCCTGCCATGCCCAACTGCTTTGTGGCAAGTGGTTATGACTTGGGTGATCCTTGGGGGAAGAAGTGTGGTAAGCAAAACTGCTGTGTGTCGGATACAACACCTCCTAAGCCACCGTGTAGTGGTGATATCCGCTGGAATGTGAAGACAACGCACTTCTTCATGGGTCCTATTCATCCACGACCAAAACGGCCGTTTGCCGAGCGTCTGGCCAAAGCAGCAGCAGTCGTGGTGTACGGGGCAAAGGGTCCTGCCACAGGTCCAGTGATTGCCGGCTGCTCCATGTCGACGGACGGTGCCATGATAACAGTGCGCTTCAATTCCACACTTCTTACCACGGATAAAGTGATTGTTCAAGACTATAATCAGACACTGTTGGCAAGCGGCATGGAAGTGTGTACGGGAGAAGTGGATCCGCCGTACGCGCCCAACTTCAACGACAAGAACTGGACGACTGTCGATGTGAAAGTGGACAGCAGTGGCAGTGGAATTCTGGTCGACTTGAGCTCCCTGAACGGCACGAAACCCAGCGCTGTGCGTTACGCATGGCAGGACTATCCCTGCTGTGGCGAATTGGATAGAAGCCTTGCGCCCTGTCCACCCGGCTCGTGTCCAGTGATGGGATCACCGTCCATGTTTCCTGCCATGCCATTCTTCGCTCTCCTCCAGGACGGCAAGTGTAAATGTGTTCCACCGCAGGTGTGTGATGGTTGAATTGGACAAAATTAGAGCGATTCGCTTGTCCACACCAAGTCAGTTACTCTTCTCGTTGCTCACACACTGGACTGGTTTCTTCACTTTGATGTGTAGTTGTAGTAGCAGTTGTGGCTGTTGTTGTTCTTGTTCTTGTTGTCGTCGTCATCCTTGTGACTGTTTACTCTTTGATCAAGTTCATGTAAAGTACACTTTCACCGGCGAATCACCTTCCAGCTATTATACTATTTGCACCAAAAGCACCTATCAGATGTTATTACACTGCAGTTTATTGATTGAGTTCGTTACCAATAGCCCTTTTCCTATGGTGCCAACATTTTCACAACTTTTGATTTTCGCAACCATGCCAGTGTTGCCACAGCAAGTGAAAGTTGGTAAAACGAAGGAATTGCCATGGTTGTAGCTGTACTAGCTGTGTGAGCAGTTGAAAACTATGTTGAGAGTTGCCGTGGTTTCCAAACCTGGTCACGTGGTCCTTCCTGCTGCTATTGTTCTCCACACTCAGACTACAGTGTGCCCCCCCCCCTCTAGTACCAAGACTCAAGTCCGGCTGGCTAACTAACTTTACTTACTAAGACTCAAGTGCGCCATAATTATGGTCTATGGTAGACAAACCAAGTGACCAAGTCAAAAGTGACCCCCACACACATACACACACGCACGCACGCATGCACGAACACACATACAAACACACACACACACACACACACACACACACACACACACACATACTCTCTCTCTGTTTCTCCAGGCTGACAGTATTAAAATCTGTAACGAGCCCCTTACTGGCCTTAGGAATGCATGGACGAACGTAACGTCGTTCATAACTAAATTCGGTGTTTGACTGGATGGACTAGTATGAACGGTAACGTCCGAGACAACGACTGCGCTATCTCGCTCTCTCTCTCCCTCTCCTTCTCTCTCTCTCTCGCTCTCTCTCTGGCTCTTCCTCCCCTGCCCACCCTTGGTGCGTCTGTAATAGGTGTATGTATGCTACGACCTGAATACTCACTATTCGTATTTCCCGCTCGTTCCCCTTGGCAATGAGCCACTCACATAGAAGAGCGCATGCTCCAGTTCTGTTCTGTTCTAGTCTAGTCTTGAGTTGTCGTTGTCCTGTTCTCCTTCTGTCTACATTCTTGTCGAATACTTCTATAATCCAATCATATAAAACCCCTGTGTTCCGGTGTGAGGGGGCATCATTAGCCGGGAGCAGCTAACACTGGTGGCAGCGGTGGAATTCGAACCCACGCCTCCGGAGAGACTGGAGGTGGCTGAACGACGGGTTACGTGTTTACCAAGATTCGAGCACACACTGACTCAGCCCCAAAGCCATGGGTTGCGCACTCTTATCTTCACTTACTGAGTCTGTAGTATTGGTGTGAACTACTGAACTAACGTGTTACTTGGTGTTACTTGGTGTTAGCAGATTTACAGAAATGATTGTGATGCCTTAGTCTGGGGCCCCTGCTAGGGCCACGCCCCGGCTCCAACACTGGCTCAGCTGTAGTCGTTTCACAGTACTCAGTCTTGTCCCGTAGCCGGGGGCCCATGGCATGTGTTCGCAACGCCTGTGGCCGGGTGCAAGACCACCATGTATGATGTAGTCATGTAGATCTACATGACTGTTGATCTACCATGATGATCTACCAGCAGGCCTGCAGCACACAGCAATTATTTAAAATTAAAGACAAGACTGATCTGCTGTGTTCAGTGCAATAGGATCTGAAACATGACTGAAATCGGAAGTCACGGTTGCATGCGCATTGCTGAAACCGATCGTGTGATCCTGAACATGCATCTGGTGCCATTTACAGACAGGTGCAAGCCAAGCATAGACCCAGCCCCAAGCCACAATCCCCGACCCGAACTGCGGCCTTTTTGAATGCATGTGGGAAGGTAATTAGACCCACCCCAAGCCACAATCCCCGACCCGAACTGCGGCCTTTTTGAATGCATGTGGCAAGTTAGTTTTAAAGTCTCTCTCTAGTCTAGACCATGTAGACTGCAGTACAACTGCACAATGTAGATCTACTACACGTCTAGCTGATCGCTGAAGTAACCAGGTTAAACCTTGTTTGACACTACGAGTACTAGTACTAACTGGCACTTAGAATACTAAGTAAAAGAATGAGGTCTTGATGGATTGAAATCGTCGGTGATCATGGTGATGTTGACGATAACAAGCTGCTTAGCTGGGACTAAGAGTAAGACTAGTAAGAGCTCCCCAGGCCACGACCTTATCCATATCAAGGCTATTTATGTTCACTGACTTTGATGCTATTCTTTAAAAAGTACATGATTGTACTGCCGTCTTCCATCGCTTTCCATCAATGCTCCTCCTTTCCCTGTGAGTGTGAACCAGTACGCGGTACGTGGTGTGCATACATAGGAAGGAGTCCACCTAACTAATACTTGTAAGCTTTCAGCGACTGGAGCGGATGACTGCGCGCATACAGAGGAGTGGTAATAACAAGACAAGAACAAGACAGTCTCCACGTGTCCTTGTGTCGTCTAAATCTTAGTTCTAACCGTTGTAGCCTCCAGTCTTCACCAGCGCAGTCCTCTACTACTGGTCCACATGACCTGATGACTGAGAGTGAGAGTCATGTGCATGAACACCCGCAGAGATCTACAGCAGATCATCTACACCAGAGATCTACACTACAGCAGCTAGGAGATCTACAGCAGCTAGCAGATCTACTAAAACTGCAGGAGAGAGTCGATCTACTAGCCATAATAATAATAATAATAGTATGGCCATAGTACTTGCAGGCAGTAACAGTAACAGCACAGCCCAGCACCGGACAGCTCTGAGCCTCACCAAAATAGACTATGATCAGTAGCCAATGTAGTGTAGACCGACACTACTACGACTCGAGTACTAGTCTGCTTAGACTAGTATATAGCAGGGAGTCGTATAGACCCGGGAGGCGACACGAGGCCTTCCGGGCCGACTATGATTGACTCGCGGCACTTTCTCCCACTTTTCCCTCAGATATCCCCGGTGCATGCCCTGAGTTATAAACCAACTACTCCGCGTACTTATGCCATGGGACTTTGGGAGTGCATGGGGAACGGACTCGTGCAGGATCGATAGGATCGTGGGAAATCGTAGCTCGAAAAGAAGAAGAAGAATGAACTACTTTTCCAAGTAATTAGTTGCATCTGATGATCGTGATTGAGGCAGAGAGTGCTGCTGATCGCGATCCAGATCCGGGTCAAGAATCACCTCCTGATCCTAAGGAAACCTCAGCTGACGTAGATCTACGTTCTCTTCGCGTGAACGCTCAGTCTGTATTGGCTTGGGCCACAGGTATGGTTTGAATTCTAATTTTCTATGTTATTATATTTTTCAATTTGTCTTGAAACTTTCAACCTTGCTACTTAGCGGCTTCTGATCTGGTGCGCGTACTGCATAAAAAGTTGCGAATAATCATGAATTGGAAGAAATACTTGTGGGTTGATAGAGTGCAGTACTTGTTCAATGGTTTCTACAGAGCGTTCCGAATCCCAGCCGCTAAAAACCCACAGAAGGCAAGAAGCTTGCGTTGCAAAGCTGCTGTCCCGCCTGACTGCGGAGAAAGAAGACTCGTTTATGGTTGTTCTACAGCCGCTGCTGACGTCCATCAGCTCTGTCCTGCTCCCAGCTGCAGATAGGCCTGGATTTCAATGAGTCGTGTCCCAACTCCGGTGTGAACGATTTCCCGACGTCAAGACGAAGTGGGGTCAAGTCATGGGTGTTGCAAGGAAGCTATCACAAGATGATCCGGTATTGAGCGGTAGGTTTTGTAAAGCTGCTCTAACATTTGGATCCTATAAATTATAACATTAAATTATTATTTGTATTCACGAAGCCATGCCCAAGACGTGCGACATAGCGTGCGTTCGTGTGTATGTGTGTGCGTGCGTGTGTATATTGTGTGCGTGTGTGCGCGCTTGTGTATGTCGTTAAATGCCGCCAGAGCACCCCTACCTCCGGAACCATTCGAGTAGATCCATTTGGGGAGGGGCGGATGGGCGAATCCTGCTTGCCGCATTCAGTACCAGGGCCTGCTGGAGAGCCGGGTCAGCCGGGTCACGCGCCCGGCTGGGGAACTGCACGACCTGGCTGAACAGATAACACCGGGTCCAGTCTGACCCGGTTGAAACATGTCTCAAACTGCCAATGGATTCCTAAAATACCGGTATTTTCCGACTCGCGGACCCCATCTGTTGCAAATCTAGCGCAACCGTACACACTAGTCTACAAGCAACAGACTCGGCTAGGGTCAACTGGGGTCGACTGGTTCCAGCGCGATCTGGCCAGCGGCGAGCAGGAAGTCAGGACATTCAAAGTCGATGGGGCAGTCATGCAGTCAAAAGCGTAACTTTGGCTATAGCTTTTGACAAAGTTGCAAGTTTTCATCCGACTGGTGATTTGGACGATGGAGCTCGCAGCGAAGAGAAAAAGAACTCACGCTTTCTAAGACTCTTGGAAGAAAGGTCGACCCTGGCTGGACTACGAGCATGCCAGTCTATCCATGTATTGTAATGTGCTTTGTGCAAGACGCATTTCCAAACTTTGGAAATCCACCGCCGCTCGTGTTTCGGGAACACGAGCGGCGGTGGATTTGCTCGCGATGCGTGGTTGAAAGGTAAGAACTCACTGCTTCGAATTATCGGCATGCTGCTCGGCTCCTGGGTGCTGCAGGCACCCCCTAGTGCTCTATTATGTGAACATGTTCGTCCTGCTACTAGCACTAATTAGAAACCAGAATTCCAATTTTTCAAATTGTTAAATCAGAATCCAATGGAACTGCTTTGCATTCTTCACGTAATGTCGTTTACCTTCTACATTTGCAGACTTTGATAGTTCGCCTTGTTGTTCTCTAAACGATTACCGGTAATAAATTCGCCTTTCTGTTTTACGTCGTTTTGAGCAGGCTTTTTGGTTGTTTTTCTGCCGGATGATCTGACCCGGCTGGCCTGCATGCACCAGGTACACTCTGACCGGGCTGTGTTGAATGTCTAGAGCAGGCCCTGAGTACTACATGAAAAAGTACTAACCCTAAGAAAACTGTGCGTGCGTCTCGTACACCCAACAAAAGTCAAGAGCTGGGAGTCGTACAAACCCATCAAAACCCTTGGGTGTGTGCGATCTCTGGTCAAGAGGGTGGGAACTGTTGCGTACATTTCCAACCAGGTCGTAGACGCGTCTGCAGTACAGTACGACCTCACACTTCACATAGTCATACGAGGATACAACTCTATTGATAGATAAGATAACGTGCTTGTAGATCTCTGCCATGCCAAAGTTGCATTCAGTAGAGGTAGTAGTCTCTGTCAAACGTGTTTGCCATTGGCTCACGGCACTTGTAGCAGCTGATCGGACGATGCAAATGGACTCCCAGTCCACATTAGCTGGTTCTTGATATGCCTTCGAAAATATACCATGGCACGCACTTTCCACTGTTGTTACATAGGGCCGGAAGTGTGTTGTCCTGAGCTTGCCACGATACTTTCCGATCTGTCCATCTCCTCTCTTTGTTAAGTTGAAATTATTTGAAGAGCTGATGGCTGGTAACTTGCTGGTCAGCTGGTAGGAATACGTTTGCAAGTGTTGCTGCTGATTTGTACGTTGAATTGCCGGAGTGACGTGGGCTTGAGTAGTCTTCCCCAGCAATGAACTGAAGAGTAGCATGCGTATTGAATTCTCTTGTTGCCGGTTCATCGGCCCCTCTCCATGACACCGGACTAGACTGAATTACTGGCGTCCCTTCATCGGCCTGCTTTTCGCCTCGAACTTCACGAGTCTTGAAATCTGGACCCAACATAATAAAAGTGGGACTCATTTGCGCAGGTCAGACGATAAATTGATGCAATAAGGGGTCATCGCGAAAGTGATTAGTCATCCCTGAAAAAAACATTCATTTCGTACTCGGACCTCCTCTCCACCCTCCAAAATGAATGGACGACGAAAATCGCATGCATGTACATGTGTATGCATAGCGTCAGTCGACTGAGATTTTAGCTCCCCCCCCCCTGGAACGATCTTCGTTTCAGGGACGACCAAAAACTTGTGTGACCACTGACTTTCTTTCTCTGTTATCAAGCAGTATGCATTATTTGTAACAGTAATTACTTGTCTGTGTCATGTGGATGCATTGTCTTATTTCCTTTTTCAGGCTACAGTACAACCAAGAGAACGAAATGTACGTCGCAATCAAGCTATGTCGTTGCCATCTTCTATGTGCCATGCGTTACCTGATGTGCCAGCCTGCTATGTCGGATACCGCTAACCATGCACCGACTAGGCGCCAGGCGCGAACTGATGGTGGTGGTGGTGGTGAGAAGGAGAGCTCTGTGCCAGAGTAACTTTGCAGTTTAGAGAGCGTGTCTGGGCAGGCGTGTATTTACCCCCATATTGCCAGGTGTGTATTTACCACCATATGAACCAACCATAAGTGCAGTTGCAGTGGAGTCTTCAACTTCATTCTCCCGAGTCAAGCTCCTTGTGAAGACATCTAAGAAGAAGATTGCCTGATGAGTCCAGCCGGGACGAAAGGTACGTCGCAATCAAGCTATGTTGTTGCTGTGTCATCTGCTATGCGCCATACGCTACCTGATGTACCAGCCTACTATGTCGGACACCACTCACCCTGCATCGACTAGGCGCCAGACGCGAACTGATGATGGTGGTGGTGGCGGGAAGGAGAGCTCTGTGCCAGAATAACTTTTCAGTTTAGAAAGCGTGTGTAGGCAGGTGTGTATTTACCGCCGTATGAATCAACCACAGTACGATCAGCTGACGTTATAACTTATAAGGATGATCTCGTGCAGCGATATTATTTATATTTTTTAAGTCTTTTCTAAGGACTCTCCACTGCAGCGTTTTCTTTCCACTCGGTTCTCTTCTTTTCATCGCTCAGCTTGCACTTGCAATGCTTATACATACTGATCAATCCCGTTCAATTTTCCGTACATTTTTCTCAAAATCCATAGCGCGGACGAAGTAGTGATTTTCCGTACAAATATGGAAAATACGGAAGGTTGATAGCACTGTGTTGAGGCAGCTATTGTTGACTTTATTTGGAATTAATTCTGTCGTATTTGCACACATTCCTGAGTACATTGTATTACTACTAGCATCCAATGTGTGTTATCTGTGCGAGCTTCTAACCTTGTGAACATTCACCGAAGGTTCGGTTGGTGGCGCACAAGATCTTCCGGGATGGCTCTTGCGGGCTCTCAGCCCTGCGTTCACTGCATAAAACTTGGCAGAACAGTTCAAGTTTCAATTTAGGCCATTTCCTCACTCTGTGACTCCCAATATTTCACATGTGCAATGATTATAAGTATTGTAGATCACTGGGACAGCGCCACTTTGTTAGCCGATGTTAGTCCTGAAGAAAAATTGACTTCATTGCCCTAAAGGTGAGAAGAAATTGGGACTATTTGTGAAGGAAAACTTTGGAAAATGTAATTTCGAATAAAAGTCATTTCGTTTATCTGGATAGGTCCAATATTTCACAAATGTGCAATATAAGTATTGTAGATCACTGGGACAGGGCAACTTGGTCTGTCGAAGTTAGTCACGAGGAAAAAAATTACTTCATTGCCCTAAAGGTGAGAACAAATTGGGACTATTTGTGAAGGAAAACTTTGGAAAATGTAATTTCGAATATAAGTCATTTCGTTTATCTGGATAGGTCCAATATTTCACAAATGTGCAATATAAGTATTGTAGATCACTGGGACAGGGCAACTTGGTCGGTCGAAGTTAGTCAAGAGGAAAAAAATTACTTCATTGCCCTAAAGGTGAGAAAATATTGAGGCAATTTGTAAAGAAAGGATTACCTCATCTTAGGTGGTCAAAGTGCCTCAGAGTTCGAGTGGCAGTGCAAAGCCGGTGAGTAAGCCAGTGAACAAGACCCTTTATTAGTGAACTCCTCAGCGATGGCCACAGATGGCTGTATTTCGGCAATGGAGATCGAAAGTCTGACCACAATTGTTCAGCGAAAGGACGAAGACGACGCTATGTACGGATTTCCCGCGCGCTATGGCCTATAGGCTATGTACGGACTTGTCCCACACCGAGCAGGTCGTAATATTTTGAATCGTTGAGTCGATCATGGTTGTGCACAAGTGATGCGCGTGTCGCCTCCCGGGTCTATACGACTCCCTGGTATATAGTATACTATATACTATATACTAGTCTTACTATAGTAAGGTCTACATGATCTAAGGAGCTGGAGCAGTGGAGGTCATCGGTCCTTTTACATTGTGTATTTGCGCAGGAAACACACAAAAGTGGACATGGACACATGGTGGAAGACAGCAAAGACACAATACGTATGCCGGATGGGATCGGGCGGCAGGTCAGACTCGAAGAGCAGAACGCGTGCACACCTACTGACCGGTACGCGGCACCGACCACGCAAAGCACTTCAAGCGAAGTCCAAGCTTTTCACGGTCACACATTCACAGTTACATTTCGATGACCGAGTCTTTTGTTGTGTCGATCATGCAGCTGAAGACCAATGCCTGCACGCAAGTCCAACTGTCCCACAAATACACAGAATCTGTTTGAATCCAAGGGTAAGCTGGGAGCGGAGGCGAGAACACTGTTTTGGTACGTTGGATATCAGTTTTTGTTACAATAGTCAATACTGCCACTACTGGACCGCAGAGTAGACCCCAGGTGCAGCCTAGCCTTGCCTGGAACTGCAAGGCCCGCGGCTAAATGTAGCTCCAGTATTTTCCCCGGGGCGATGCTGTCGTTTCGCCGATACCGTTGCCACCTCACTCCTCAGTATCGGTGGGAGACTGTGACTAGACCTGCGCCGCTTGACCGAACCAAGAATAGGCAAAATCTCGTCCATGCAACTAACTTGGACGATTGATGTTGGTTTGGCTCAGCTTCAGCTAGCCCGTGTGGTGGTAGTGTGTATGTCCAGCTAATCTCTCAGGACTTCTTGCCGATGAAACTAATTCCTTAGTACATCCCAGAAGTCACCCGTGCTCACACCGTCATGACACTCCCCTGTGGTTCTTGTCGATACGGCGACGACCGTGCCGACGATTGATCTAGCCGCCAGGCCAATATCCGTCACAACGGTTGTCCCTTCAACTCTAGTCCAGAGTACAGGGGAGTCCACCCTGGCCTCCCTAGCTAACAACCATGGCTGTGCAGAGTCCTCCTAGTGTAATCTCCACCAGCGAGACGTTCGTGTCGGCGGAGAAGCGCCTGGTCCGTTCACACTCCTCGCTCAAACTCAAGTGCAGGATTGCTGTGCAGAACATACAGGGGCGCGTACGCGCACATGATGAAGTGATGCAGGGTGCTGCTGCTGCCGGCGAAACTACCTGCACCCGTACAGGCCGTAGATCTACGGACACGCCGGATGACGAGGCCACGTCCCCGGAAGACGCCGGCGGCAGCGCGAAGTCGATACCTGTTGTCAGCAGGGAAGAGATGGCTTGTAGAAAGCGTGACATAGGCTTGGCATTGGGCTGGATCGTGCAGAGTTTGGTAAGCACGCAACGGAATATCATTCTCCTGTGGAGAATCCACGAATACAAAATACAGAAAATAGGTGTGGAGCCGGAATGCAAGATCTAGTTGAGTGAAGTACAGGCGTGGCCAAAGACTTGAAATCCGACCCACGAGTCATGTAGTTTCCATTTCTCTTATATCATGCACGGTCCAAAACCCATCCCAGGGCGACATGAGCCTTGGCGCTGCCTTCCGTTCACAGGTTGGATGTCGTTGGCCACGTCTGTACATGTGTACGGTAATTATTATTATTCCCGTAGCTATGCAGAAGACGTTACTTCAGTAACGTCTGGCGCTAGCCAGGGTCCACACAGCTTTAATTTGGTATTTGTGTGTGTGTTTGTTTGTTTGTTTGTGTCACGCCTGGCGCTATCCCGTATCTGTCCCGTATCTGTCCCGTATCTGTGACTACAAAGGCTCTACAGGATTGTACATAACAGCTGTCCACAATATTTGCGGGCTCCTGTATCTGTCCCGTACCGTACCAATATTCGTCGTATTATGCACACGACTCCCTGATGTAGAGGGGGATTTGGAAAGAAATAGGGAGACGAGGAGGAAATTAAATTAGAATAGATGCCGATTAGGTGATAGGATGCGTCAGCATAAACATACTTTGGAAGAGAGATCCCGTCGTCTCCAAAATAAGCGTGAACGAGCGATTCAGTGCCGGTCACAGGAAACGTCGGAAGAGAGATCCCGTCGACTCCAGAACGCCCGTGATCGGTAGAGTCCGGCGGTACCAGGCAACGTCAGGACAGACATCCCGTTGAGTCCAGAACGCCCGTGATCGGCAGAGTCTAAGCCGGTCCCAGGAAACGTCAGGACAGACATCCCGTCGAGTCCAGAACGCCCGTGATCGGCAGAGTCAGCGCCGGTCCCAGTAAACGTCAGGACAGACATCCCGTCGACGCGCAGAAAAACTAAATCTGCAGCCTCTTTTGCCGTCGAACAGGATACGTATTTATATAGGAGACTGTAAAGTTATGTAATGTCCAAATTTCGACGTGAGCAGCAGGTCACTCGCGTTGATTTTTTCGACGTGCGAGCCAAATAACGCGAGCTGAACTTTCGCGTCGCAGACATCCCGTCGACGCGCAGAAAAACTAAATCTGCAGCCTCTTTTGCCGTCGGACAGGATACGTATTTTAGGAGACTGTAAAGTTATGTAATGTGCTCCACAGGCAACCATGCATTCGGCGTCGTCATTGGCTCAACAGGTCAATGATTATGTACATGTATTACTACAAAAAGGCCAGAAAATCCGATTCCTGTATTAAAATCAACTAATGTTCGCTGGCGATTTAATTTTGCTGATTTCGCCGCTTGGTACCAACCGGCCAAAGTAAATCGCAGGCCAACGTTTGTCATATAGGCAAATGATGCATGATTGAGCAATGGATGCATGTGAGAGCAAAAATACCGATCGATTTCAAATTTGACGTGAAACTGCGCGTCACGTCGGAAATAACGTGCATCTTAACCTCTCTAATCGAGAGGTTTCTATTTCTCATCGGCCAAAATTTGTTGATTTACAATATAAGGAGATAAAAATTAAAGAAGGAGCAAAACAAAAGTAGATGATTATTAGAGAAATAACAATCCACAATAAATTCTGCAAATACTTTTGCCTAACTCATAATATTCAAACCGATTGAAACGTTTTTGCAATACAGTGATGTGGCCAATCAACGGAAAAAGACAATTCCATCAGTTCTTATAACATGTACGATGAGCTAGGCAAAAAAGCATAAAACATAGCGTAGGGCCCTGAGCTTCCAAGCTCTCTCGTTTCTAATCTCATCAGGACATTGGGGGGGGGGGGGGGAGTTCAGGTGACTTTGACACAAGACAAGAAACAAGGGAACCACAGGGCACTAGTGGGCACTAGAGAGGATGTCACTGGGTATGCATGGGGCTCATCCCACCACTGCCCACTGGTCTTGGAGGCATGGCCTGCACAAACGCACTTGGAGGAGGAAAGACAGAAGGGGTAAATTACAGGGGAAGTTAAGCCTAAAATCAATGTTTCACCAGTTGTAGTCCTCGGGGTGCTGAGTCGAATGGTCTTGGTCCGAGGAAGCTGAGACGCTCCCTTCCACCTTTATTCCCAATCGAACTCGTGCACTTCCACCGAAACTGGGTGACTGCGCCTTACTAGATGAGGATTTGCATGCAAAATGTCACTAAAAGCGCCATTTCGTTCTTATAAAAGCACGGATGACCGCGATTGGCCCATATGTTGTAGTATTTTGGACGCTGAGTCGACTGGTTTTTGTCCGAAAAGGCTGCGATACAGCGTTCGGACATTATTCCCAATCGAACATGGTTGAACAAGCGGTCACGTGCTCATGCGCACACCAGTCATCTGGTCACCGCCCCAGCAGGCGCCAACTTTCACACCAAGGTTCAACTCGAGTTCAAGTCGAGTGACAGGAATGCACCCAAACAGGCTGTAAGTTGTACCCTGCTGGGGCGGTGACCAGATGACTGGTGTACGCAGGAGCACGTGACCGCTTGTTCAACCATGTTCGATTGGGAACAAGGCCCGAACGCTGCATTGCAGCCTTTTCGGACAAAAACCAGTCGACTCAGCGTCCAAAAGACTACAACATAAGGGCCAATCGCGGTCATCCATGCTTTTATAAGAACGAAATGGCGCTTTTAGTGACATTTTGCATGCAAATCTCCATTTACTATGATCTAGTAGGGCGCAGTCACCCAGTTTTGGTGGAAGTGCGCGAGATCGTTTAGGAATTAAGGGGGAAGGGAGCGTCTCAGCTTCCTCGGACCAAGACCATTCGACTCAGCACCCCGAAGACTACAACTGGTGAAACATTGATTTTAGGCTTAACTTCCCCTTTAAGAAGGAGAGTGTGCAGGGAGGAGTGAGGATGGAGCCTGTAAATGATTTCGCCCAAGATTGAAATGTGCCTTTTATCGAGTTAGTGGCACGCAGTGGACATACGAGTCGTATGTGCAAGTAATTGTTATGCACAACAATAAAATGAGAAGGCAGGGCACGCTAGTTACCCGCAGTAGATATAGAGCAGAGCCAACATGTGCAGCTTGGGTCCTTAGAGACTGCTAACAGGTTTGGAGGTAGTAGAATAGTAGCAGAATGTATTATTTTAATAGGGAAGGCCTTGGGTGAGGTTCTAGTCCTAGCAGGCTTGCAGGTAGGGTGTTCCAGGGTGTGAATTGTGATGGTTAAAAAGGAGAAAGAAATGGGACTTGATCAGGCGCTATCCGAGGGGTGTACACTGGAGCTTGAGCCAATGGTACTCCTGAGGCTGGTGTTGTGTGCGCAAGAGGCGTGTATCGGGGGACGTTGGTTGGTGCCAGCAAAACAGTGATCTGGGGAGGCCCTTGGATGTAGTACAGCTTCATCAGAGCTGCCATCAAACGTTGGAGCTAGAGACTCTGGAGGATGGCACCAGGTCCCAGGAAGTGCAGGACACATTCCTGTCAAGCATTATTTTGAAATTTCACTGTAATACTGCGGGTGGGCTGCCCTTTTCCTAGGAGGGCACACCACCAGAATACGCGGGGGGGGGGGGGGGGTCTACGCTCTCCTACATTCTCCTATCCTACCCACCCCAAGTAGGTTGGCTAGAAACACGTGTTGTGCTAAATTGCCACTTGAAGTTTCGCCTTTAACCACTCACTGGGCTTCAGATGGTCCAGTTATGCACGTTGTACAGATGTACGAAGTTCTGTACTAGGGCCGTAGGTGTGTACATACCCGGTTGGGTGTTCATTGTGTGCTATACATGCGTGTTTGATCCATGTAGCCTCATAATTCATGGTAACTGAACAAGGGCGTCGGAACCGCACCGGCCGGGGCGGCCATGGCCGCCCCACTTTTTCTGCCGTTTTTTTTTTGTTTTTTTTTTGAGCACACTGCAACAAAGCGCGATGATCTCAGCGCAAACTTGGCAAATCCTTGTCCCCAATCGTGGTTTGTTGCAGAATCAAAAGACCGTGTACACTGAAATGTCACCAAATGCCTGGGAATGCTTGTTTGTTGTTTGTTTGTTTGTATTCTTTATTTAGAGTGGGAAGTCCAAAACAGGCCCTAGCCTAATAACAATGGTCCCACTAGTGAGGGAATGCTGTATATCTGTGCATAAGGATCAGTGAGTGTAACAGCAACTAGTAGGGAAAGAAAAAGAGAGAAGAAAAACAACTCAAAACAGGAGTTGCGACTTGCATAGGGAGAAAATAACGTAAAGAGCAGTGCATACAGCATTTGTAAAAAGGCTTATTTATCTGGTAAGCAAAAAGGCAAGAGCCATTGACTTAAAGCGATTGCGTTTTCTTTCTTGCCTGACCGCAGCGGGGAGCTGGTTCCATAAGATGGTCCCAGCATAGGTAACACGTTTGGCAAGATATGCAGTTGGGCTGGCTGGGACAATCAGTAAATTGCTGTGCCCACCACGAGTTTGAGTGGAATTACTGGGGCTGAAAAAGTTAGCGAACAACATGCTGATGTTAGAGGAGTCATGGAGACAACGCCAGATAAAAACCAGAAGGTGCATGTTGGCGTATGTGGTCAATGTTTGGATGTTCATGCGTGTAAGAATATTGCTTGTGGGTGTCCCGGGAGGTACCCGACAGACTGTGCGTACAGCACGCTTGAAGAGCCCATTAAGCCGTCGACTTTGATACGCCGTGAGAAATGGTAGGTAAGCAGAAGCGGCATACATAAAGTGTGATAAAATGAAAGAACGAAAATAGGCTATGCGACATTGAAAAGGCAGGAACGTAGCGTATCGTCTGAGCACGCCAACTTTCGACGCAACGCCCCGTGCGACGTGGTCGACCATGGTGTTCCAGCTCATGTCCGCATCAAAGTGGAGACCTAAATATTTCGCAGAGGGAACAGTTGGCAGAGGCAGTCCATTACATTGCAGTTGCAAGTCAAATGTTTGAGATCGTACTGGCGATATCGACATGATCTGTGTCTTCGTTTCCTGTGCTTGCAGTTGGCTTCAATTTTTGAATTTCTTCCCGGGGAGGGTAATGTTTGTCCCCGATCGTAGCATCTTGTTTTTTTGCAGAATCAAAAAATCTTTCATTGTAGTTACCGTACACTGAAATGGCACCAAATGCCCGGAAATGCTTGCAATTGGCTTCAATTTTTGAATTTTTTCCCGGGGGAGGACCCCCGCACCCCCCCCCTTCCATGGCCGCCCCACCTCCAAAGTCGTTCCGATGCGCCTGCTGAATAATCGCTTTTCCAGCTTCCTCACTTTGGGATTGAACCAATGACAAGCTAGATCTTCGCCGGAAAAGGTTTTCGTATGAAATGCCTTCAGGGCCCGTTTCGTAGTGGAAATAGCAGTAAACACAATAGGGTCCTGCACATTCAACACCCAACCGGGCCTACGGGATTCTACGAAATTCTACGGGACTCCGTGCATCTGTACAATGTGCATAAGGCCTATAGAGACTACTGATTCGCGTTCGAAGCCTCAAAGCGCACTGCACTGCTTGCTTCCAGATCCCATGTTGCTTCTTCCATTCATTGGGAACTACTGTAGTTGCTGCACGGCTCAGTTTGTAGTGATCTCTACTGTACTCTACCCTACAGTCACGGGTCGGCTGGGAATGCCGGGTCCTAGTATGTGTGCCGGAATGCTGACATACACTGCAATAAACATAAATACCGTACTCAGTACTGTGACCACCCAACTTTCAATTAGAAGCTATAGTGCGTTTCAAAAGTCCAGACCTCTGGTTTCAAAAAATCGTTAGGCCAGCATCTATACCACATAAAATCTGTGATCACTTTGTGTGTAGAATTTCCGAAATTGGGCGTCTGTTATCCAATTGCTTAGAAATTTATACGAGAAAAATTGCGGCAGCTGCCTGAGCAATATCCTGAAGAAATTCTCAAAAAGTTCGAACCAAATTTGAATTATTCGAAAAAGTCTAGAGCCTGAGGTCTATACTTTTGAAGCACACTATAGTGAAGCTCATGAACGTCTTGTATGATGTCAAGAAAAAAAGTGTTTATGATGTCAAGAAGCTTACGTTAATGAATGGGTTGAAAACATGACATCACCATCGGCACTGAGGTCTAGCAAGACGAATTTCGCATTTGTGTTCACCCTCCAATGAGACTCGAACTCAGTGACGAGACTAGCATTGTGGTGCTGAGGATAAGGAAACAGAATTCAGGCTTGCATGACGTTGACAAGTCATGCATGTGTAAAGACAATACAGTGTAGTCACTTCGTGACTATCCCGCGGCACTGTTCCGAACTTTTCTGAACTAAAAGTGCGAAAGTTCACATTTCAGCTCTCCAAACGAGAAGTATAAGCAAGCTCAAAATTAAAATTCATGAAATATGGTAGGGCATGGTACATGTCATTACTCAACTATCATGTCCAGAGAGGTACAGCAGTTCTAGCGCAAAGGATAGGTGCTCCATGGTCCTATTTGCACTTTGGGGAAAGCTACAATGTTGTCAAATACATGTATATGTACTGCACTGCAACTACCCATTCTGATTCTGTATTCTGATTTTGTATTCTGCATTCTGCATTCTGAATCTGTATTGTGTATTCTGCTGAATGTATATTCTGCATTCTGAATCTGTATTGTGTATTCTGCTGAATGTATATTCTGCATTCTGAATCTGTATTGTGTATTCTGAATCTGTGTTGTGTATTCTGAATGTATATTCTGTATTCTGAATCTGTATTGTGTATTCTGATTCTGTATTCTGAATCTGTACTCTGTATTCTGAATCTGTATTCTGTATTCTGAATCTGTATTGTGTATTCTGAATCTGTATTGTGTATTCTGAATGTATATTCTGTATTCTGAATCTGTATTGTGTATTCTGATTCTGTATTCTGAATCTGTATTCTGTATTCTGAATCTGTATTCTGTATTCTGAATCTGTATTCTGATTCGTAGAAAGAGCTTCGACAAACCGATGTGGATCTGACCGAACACCTCTCCACCAATCTGGACAAGATACGTGCTGCCAAGCCCAGCAGGCGACGTCTTGCTCGACGGAGCAGTGTCTTGACTCAGTCCGGGTCCAGCGTGATGTGGGATGCGATGTATGAAGAAACCAGCGGCAACCCTCTGTCGGAGTACGGCGGCCGTGGCCTGCCGGATGAGTATGTGTCCGAAGACAATATTAGTGCTCGCAAGAGTGAAGACACCGCGTCGCTTCATCCCTGGCAGCAGGACTGGAGAACGCAGAGCCTGTGCCGGCGGTCCAAGAGGCGCAAACCGCAGGCAACACCACGCGCCATCGACCGTGTCAAGCAAGACGCAGAGGAGTTACACAACGCACCGCCGGCACCTGCAAAACCCTCTTTACAGCGGTCTGCATCAGCCTGCACATCTGTTAGTCCACTGGCCGGCAGCCACAAGCCTACTAACCAAGTCACTGACAGCCAGCTGACCCTTAACCAAGTCACTGGCAGCCAGCTGACCATTAACCAAGCCACTGGCAGTCAATTGACCCTCTGTAACAGCCCGCCAATGACCGAAAGTCCCATACTTTCCCGATGCTCGAGCCGGCGGACAATACCGTCACAGTCGTCGAGAGATGAAGCTGTTGCCACGAAACCCGAAGTTCCTGTTCTATGCACACCCGGCACTCTCCCCATTGTGACTAGTTTTGACGAGGCTGCAAAGAATTTGCAGAGATCATCCACCGAGTCACTTCTGGATGTCACGTTTGAGAAGCAGGTGAAGCTGGAGAAGCGCAGGTATGACAGTGTGCATCCACACCACCTCTTAGCATGAGCAGTTACTCATATGCGACTACATTCTATGTGCATGCTGTGCAATGCACAGTGGATGAGCAAGTAGTTGCCCAGATAGGACTGTATATACTAAGTAGTACGTTTCAAAAGTATAAATCATTCGGTTACTAAGAAAGGCTCACTAAAGGGAACGCACACTCACACAGTGACACATTCCACATTCATGCACAACGGAAAACGATTCGAAGGAACAACAACCTTGAAGTTTCTACCTGAACTCCGAAAGCAACAGTTCACACCAAGCAGCCTAAAGTTCAACAACCAGGAACTAAAAAAAGCAGCGCAGCACAGCACACCGCGGCGCAAGCTTGGGTGCATCCGGGAACTCGCGGGACAGGAGCACGTGACCGCTCAGGTCTACAGTCAATGCAAGCATGAATGCAAGCATACTAGAAGCAGATGCGTAGCAGTACAGCACAATCATGCATGTGACACTTCGTCGCTGGTTCAGACCTCAGCCCGGGATCTTCTGAACAATAGACCTCGAGACTTTTTCGAATAATTCAAAATTGGTTTGAGCTTTTTGAGAAATTTCTTCGGAATGCTGCTTAGGCAGCTCCCGCAATTTTTCTCATATACATTTCTAAGCGATTGGATAACAAACGCCCAATTTCGGAAATGTTATGTAGAAAGTGATATGTGGTACATGTATAGATGCTTGCCTAACGGTTTTTTTAAACCAGAGGTCTGGACTTTTGAAACGCACTACAGGTATCAGGGGCGTCGGAAGGTAATTTAGTGTGGTACGGTCAGCCATCTCAAGTACAATTTACTCGTGGGGGAGGGGTGGCTGAGCCGAAAATTTTGGGAAATTTTGAGCCCAAATCAGTGCATTTTATTGATTCACGGGGTACTTGGGGCAAATAGTGGTACGGTCAATACCGTAGTGACTGTACCGTATGCGACGCCCCTGCCTGTACCGTGTGCGACGCCTGTCCCCTGGGTATGCGCACAAACTCACTTGTTTTGTACATGTGCATGTTTGGAATGTCCATGGGTGATGTGTATGTCCCCTACTGTCTGTACATGCGTGCAAGTTTGAGTGTGTGTGTGTGTGTGTATGTGTGTGTATGTGTGTGTGTGTGTGTGTGTGTATGCGCGCGTGTGCCAGCTAGTTCGGTTGGTGGGTACACTTATGCCTGATTGTGTTGGGTCTGTTGCCAACGGGCTCGGCTGATTGAAGGTGTAATTTTGGACCTGCCACCTTTGTTGGTTCCAGGGTTCATATACTTTCTATTTGAAGAATACATACCTGATTTAGCCACCCACACTAGAAGCAAGTACTAGTATTACCTTCACTGGGGTCTGGGGTAACTGCAGTTGGATCCCGGGACGGATACCCTGATGCCTTCACCCACTTACTGATGTGTGGTGAGCCCGTAAGTGGGACCATGTTCAAGTCCACCCAGAGTTTTGGAGATTTCGGGGGTATCGGCCGTTGGGCGGTTCAATAGCCAATTGAGTAATCTTTCCAAGATTCCTTTTGAGTCTCTCTCCCCTCTCCCTAGGGGAGACCCACGTGACCAGTTTTGGCCGTGAGCAACGTGTGTGTGTATGTGTTTTTCTGTCTTCGCTTGCTTTTATGCGGGTTGTGCGTGCGCGGGTGTTGCATTTGTGTGTGCAAATTCTGACCTCCTGCCAAGCAGCAGTTGGAAGTTTGAGAGCATCAAGTCGGCTAGGGTGAAGCGGCAAAAAGCGGCCATCACGTCCGAAGGCGATGAGGTCTTCCAGTTTGGGCCCAGTAGCAAGATGGTGATCCACACCAGAGATGGTGCCCCTGTCCTGAGAACTGAGCCAGAGGAGTCGGTTTCTGCATCCATTGACCTACCTTCAGTACCGCCAATGCTCAAGCTCCCGGAACTTCCTGGCACTGTGCCAGGACATCCATCGCCACGGATTTCGCCATATCACACGCCGGGGAGTAGCCCACGGCCACGTCCACAGCTGAAGTCGAGTAGTCTGGAGGATGTGCTCAATGCATCTGATGCTCCACGCCGAGCAGTAAGCATGGATGCTCTGAAGCAGCATGGCACAGGCGCAGATCTTCCGGTACCAGCCGCACGTGCTACAGCCTTGCAGCTGCAGCAAAAAGCCGTGGCACAAAGTCTAACCCACCTAAAGAGCACCGCCTATACTCCAGGCGAAAACACCTCTCGAGCCAATCGTCCAGATCTCACATACCCTGCATATGTTCGGTCAATTGGACGCAAAACTTCGGCAATTCGGTCGGGTTTCCACGATCCTCCAGCTGTTCACTCGGGAAGCTCTCTGGCAGCTGCACATCATCACAGTAGTGTTCTGGAGCCCCCAGCTGCCGGTGTTCTTTCCGATTCTAGCAATTCAAGTTTCCATGTTTCATGTCCAGGCGGCCTCCCAGCACATTCATCAACAGTGCGATCAAATAGCCTCAGGCTCAGCTCAGGACTTGCCAGTCAAGGAACTGTACCCTCTCCTGGCAGTCACCGAAAGACAAGCTCACCGGCAGTTGGTGAGAGTACTTCCAGATTCCCGTCTACGGACTCGGTGAACGTGTACAGACCCCGCTGCTCAATAGGAGCCTCTCCGAACGACCGGATGATGCTGGTGCCTCCCACCCCGGAACACAGCCCTCCATCTATGACTAGTGGGCCAGTGCTAGGAGCAGTGGTGCCTGGACATCTTGCAAGTACAGTTGTGGCACCTGGACATCATGCAAGTACAGCTGTGGCACCTGGACATCATTCGTATACAGGCATGCTACCTGCACATCGTGCAAGTACAGAAGAAGAAGGACAAGAAGCTAAAGATATGCAGTTAACGTCAACACTATCCTTGCCAGTCTCATTGTCCCCAAGATCGACTCAAACTGTACATCCCTGCTCAACACACACAACACTATCACGGAGAACTCTTTCTGTTGGCATGGCTACACACTCAAATGCGGATGTCCCTGTTTCACCCGGCGGTACAGTGAAGGATAAGTCATCACAGAGGTCTCTGGATACGTCGCAGAAATTTCCAGTATCGCCACGCCACGTTAACGAGAGTTCCTCAGAGGCCATCATTCGCCGCACTCCGTTCCGCGGACAGCGAAGCAGCCTGACGAGTTCGCCGCTGCTTCGCCAGAAGTGGCACAGGCGGACGGCTTTCGGTGTTCCTGACGCCAGGTACTTGGTCAACAGTTGCAGTGATCTGCCTGTGTGTCAACTAGAGGGTGATGGCGGTGAGAGCAGCACTTGTTCCGACAGCGACGCTCGCTTTGCATCGTTCTCAGCAGATTGGTCAATGGCAGCGAGGACAGTTGAGGACAGACGATGGCGTCAGTCAGCCAGCGACCTGGAAGGTGGACACAGCAGGAATCTGACCTGTCAGCCCGGTACTAGTCACCCTTCAAAGCTGCCGTATTCGCACAGCATGAGAAACTTGCAGGAAACTCCAAGGAGACACGTACCACCTCCACCGCCAAAGAGAACAATATCATTAACCACTGCTGCCACAGCTGCTGCTGATGGAGGTGGTGAGGTGGCGGCACGCATGCCAGCGAAAAAGGGTAGTAGAAAGTCAAAGGGGAAGGCAGTCCCTCAGGAGCCCATTGCAGAGGCAGGTGCGGTGACAGCAGGCTACGGGTACGGAACACTTCCATCGTTTTCCAGGAAGAGGAACTCAATTACTTACTCCTCGGCAAGGGCGTCAATGTCGAGGAAAGGTGCAAGTCTGATGTCGCGCCTCTCTGCGCCTCTTCTCAGGAAACGTTCCAGCGGGAACATAACGAAGGAACCTGACCACAGCTTGAACAGTATTGATCAGGGTGCATCCTCTGATGCCAACGATTACTTGGACGACTCGGGACAATTTGACATACAGGAATTTGCTGAAGGGAAAATGGCTGTATCGCATGTATGATCATCATGATCCCCACCCCATTTGGTTACGATATGAACCACCGCGCCTAACAAAAGTGAATCATGAAGCTTTAATTAAAAGTTGGCGAGAATGTCAGAAAATTATGTCCTTGATTTTTTTACCGTGGCTGCAGTACATTACCCTCGCAGCTACCAATTCAAGGAAATCGTTTTGTTTTGCATTTTCGCCTATTGTTTCCGAAAGCTCTAAGGTTTGTTTTTGCTGAACGCAGCCCGTATACCTTCAGGTGCCTTGTACATGTCTTCAGAAGCCAGTGCTGTTTGTCGAATAACTCCGGTGAATATAAAACTTGATAACGCATGTTGATCATACTGCATGTAGATCATAATGCATGTGGAAAGTCCATGCCGGCAGAGCATGCAGTGCGACTTACATGACGTGCTTGCAGTACATGATTTAGTGCACATTGATCATGATCATTATTTTGTCGCTTGCAATTAGCATGTAAACTTCATAAGGAGTGTACCATAATCAGGCCTAACTTTAACTTTAGTAATATTCAGCCATAACAGTTGCTTGATGCGCTCTCAATTTTGATTTTTAAAATTAGTTTAATTTAATTCTTGGTGCGCATGGGTGTCACCATACGTAGCATCCGTTATATTTTAGAGTGGCTTTTTGAAGGCCCCTTGGGACTAAACATACATGTACATGTACACTCTCATCAATAGTATCTACTCAGGCTACTACTACTCTCCTACAGTGAGAAAGCGTGTGGCTGGCCTGAATATGACGGTATCTAATATTATTGACTGAGTACGAGGTCCAGTATAGGAAATAAAAGCCGAGTACTTTTACGAGGTTTTTATTTTCTATACTGACCAAGTTCGAAGTCAATATTAGATTTATCACGCCTAGCCAAAGCCTGTGTTCAATCTCTAAAAAGGAGTAAAATATAAGCAGTCAATATACAATGTAGCCCTAAGGAGTGAAATATGCAGGAATATTTGACTGCTTTTAAAAATAGGTACATGTATAGCAAAAATCTATAGGAGTCAATAGCCAATACTGGGAGTGATAAGTCCATGTACATGTCCGCTGAGTACGCAGGCTACGGACTCGAAGCCATGTTGCTTCTCGCTGCTCTGTGAAAGCACAGCGTTTGTGACCCGCTGGCGACTGTCACAAACGCTTACAGATTGTAGATCTACCCCGGCCGAAGCAAGTCAATGAGTCATGATCTGTAGATACTGCAGCATGGGTACCTACAATTTTAAATACTTATCATGAATATCAGTCATGCCATCAGTTGATTGTGCGGTAAGTAGACCTACACACTCTGTGACAGGTCCTACACACAGTCAGTCATGGAGAACAGTGGAACAAGGCTAGCTCGTTGCAACCCTGAGTTCAGTGACTACAACTCCGGCGGCAAATCCTGAATGTGGTCTGCGTTGCAACGAACTACATTGTAGCCTTCTTCCGGCCCTGTTCCGTACTGTAAAATAGCAACGGCAACAACGGGAATTACGGTTGGAGTCGTTGCAGATGTCGAATCACGTGCGTGAAACTTCTTACTCATTCAAGGTTAAAAATAGCCACTGAAAAGCAAATGCAAGCAAGAGATCCACGTGCAAGTGCAAGAAGTGTTTTACTTCTTCTCCGAGTAGGACAATGACCTTGTGACACTCTTTACTTGTCTTGATTTGATTCCGCAGCAGCTACTGATATGAGTAGATCTACTCTTTCCACACATCCTGACATTACTCCGAGCACTGCACAATGTCAGTGTACATGACCGAGTAAGTGTGAGGCCAGGGCCTGGAGTAGTACCTCAGGCAATCCGGCAAAACGTATTTTGGCGGAGTTTTGTGTGCCGGAACATCGCCATGTTTGGTCAACAGTCTGAAAGTCTCCACACGCAGTTTCAATGCAACAACCGTATTAGCCCCGGCGGATTGCCAGAATGGCACCTTTTTTCTCCCTCCCGTGGAGTATCCGACACTTGCCATATTTACAAGGAGCAAAAACCATGATCACCATGAGTAATACATGTATAGTTTAGGACACTTGCGCAATTGCTGATAGTGTCCAGTAGAACTACAGCTAACAGAACTACGGAAACACTAATCATAATAATTATTATTGTCTTTTAGACTTAGTATTAAAAAACTAAAAGTGCATGTGCCTACTCCAGCTCGAGGTTAGTACTTATACCATAGTATACCATCATCGTTTGAGATGCTTTGTACATACACTGTACATGATTGTATTGTAGTGCAAGTACAACGCACTTCACAGAGCAACAATGGCGGGGTTAGTTTGCTGGTAGTACTCTGAGCTTCATGCTTATGCCACCATCAGGCATACCGTCGGTAAGCACGAAACTCAGAGTAGCAGCAAACTAGCCTTGAGACAAGTTGAGTTGACTTGTCCTTTGTTGTTCTGTGTTATACACTCTGCCTCCGCAGTATCGAGCACTCTCAGCACACTAGGTGAATCATCCGGTGTGCAACACATTTCAAAAACAATTTGACTGTCACCACCAGGAATCGAACCAGGGACCTTCACTTGAGGCCAGCGACAAGTTTTGACAATTATAATAATTATTATATTACAGCTACATTGTAAGTCAACAATGTGTCCAACCTTCCAGGCAAGTAAGTAATTAGTTGGCTGAGGACGGCCGCTCAGCAACACCACTACGACAGTACGAGCAACGCCTATGACCAAGGAGAACATTATCAAACCACTAACTAATACTTATTCCTACTCGATCTCTGGACAGCTAGCGGTTTGACCTTGTTGGGGGTGTCTGCTTCTGGATGGAGTATTAATATAATACTCCATCCTATATCTCCAGTCGGAGACTGTAATGTTCAATAATTATTGATGCCTGGCCTACATGTACATGTCGTTGTAGCTAACTGGCACTCATCCTTCTCATGTACTTCGAAGTATATGTACTAGTACATGATTGTACATAATTGTTAGATTGACAGCATGAAACAAGGTGGAGGACACTGTGTTCGGAAACAGTGACCTTACTACAACCTTCCGCGGTTGGCAGAGCCCCGGTCCCTGCGGACCATTTGAACCATATGGGTATCGCACCCGGTTCTGACCCTCATTATGCTAGGGGGTTAGGAGACTACTCCTGATGTCGTCTTGTTTTCTTGGCTCTTTAAAGACTTCTTTTTTCTTTTTTCTTCCAACTTCTGCCCATTTTTTCAAATGGTCCGCAGGGACCGGAGCTCTGCCAACCGCGGAAGGTTGTAGTAAGGTCACTGTTTCCGAACACAGTGTCCTCCACCTTGTTTCATGCTGTCAATCTAACAATTGTATGTACATGTACATACATGTAACCCCAGCGGGTTTTGGACACTTGCTTACATGATGCAAGTCTAGGATGTAATCTTGGGAAAGGGCCAAGGTCACGGCATACGACTACACAGTCACAGTTCAGTGTTGACACCAACGCCTCTGTACAATGATTTCGACTCGTGAATAGTATCAATCAAGACAATAGTACAATATTGTTGATCAACACAATCATGATTGTATTCATTGCCATCTTCTCTTGAGTCTTCACTGCTTCATTCTGCGGCGGCTGTGCAACTGCTCAATGCCAATGGCACAGGCACGGACAGCAGTAATGTGCCGCACTACAGTTGCAGTGGTAACGTTACTACTCTTTTGCATGCCCACCCTCATGAATCTAATGCATGTGCATGTGCATGTACATGTAGTATAATTATGTACAAGACTCATGTTCTACTTTATACTAGCACAAGTGCTACTGTACCCGTTGTGGCAAAGCAAGGAGGAGGTGGCTTGCTAATGACTATGACTATGAGTGTATTGGCCCTGCACTGCTGCAGGCCTGGGTCTGGGAGCTTCACGCGGATGGCTGGTTGAGTCAGCCATGCACTACCTCGACACAAAGATTTTACTTCAATTTTTTTATTACAATCAGCAAAATGTGAGAACAACAATGGACAAAGAACTCGACGCTATGTTTAATATGCTGTTCATTCATTTTGCACACTCCGAGTCCGAGAACGGACTGTGAATTAAAATGCGATTTATCTGCACCCGGCATTCTCTCCCACTTACCGGTGACTCCAACTAGTCGAAGTACTAGTCCGGACACCGCACACTCTGCATAGCCTGGAACACTACAACTTTTACAAGTACAACAGCCAACATTGCTTGTACTTGTAGTAGTGGCCGGGGATATAGCGGTCCGGCCGGTTCAAGTCGGGGATGCTCCAAGATCTGGATAAGATCGGGTAACTCCCGGTTCAGTGACTTGGCTGGTCGTGGCATGTACCGGTACATCATAGTGCATTGTGTGGGTGCAGTGTTTTTTTGTGTAGGCTACACATCGCCGTTATCAGGTTATCAACAAGAGTACTAAACGGCACTCTTGCCAAGTCTTGGCTCTTGCTATCACCATGATCAGTGTTTACTGTACACACTGTCACATCGTGGTTATGCCATATATGGTCCCCACCACATAACACACACTGTCACATCGTGGTTATGGTCCCCACCACATAACACACACTGTCACATCGTGGTTATGGTCCCCACCACATAACACATACTGTCACATCGTGGTTATGGTCCCCACCACATAACACATACTGTCACATCGTGGTTATGGTCCCCACCACATAACACACACTGTCATAGTGTCAGTGACCACATGTACACGTACATCTGACGCAACTCCCGAAAACACTTGTAAGCATGTACAATGAATACTACTACCAGTATGTACTATGTATGATACTGATTTGATCATCAATCACACACTAGAACTATACAGTCATGTACATGTACTGTCTTCCGTCCGAAGGGTTCAAACAAAACATTGAGTTATTGAAGAAGAGTGCATTGTGGAATCCCAGCAGTCGTAGACTCTACACTAACACTAACAGTCTACTACTGCAGTCAGTGGTATGTACAACCAGGGTCATCTTGATTTATGCGCTCTCGATGTTCTACTATGACTAGTATGAGTTTGAGTCACATGTACAATCAAG